GTCATTACTATTAACTCCATTTAAAGAATCAGAGAAATACCACAAACACTTGAAAAGAGTACAAATACTGGTAAGGTGGAGTGTTCGTCGTGGGCAGATATAGATAACACTGATAAAGCATGAAGTCTCTAGAAAGCGGAGTCACTGGAGTAAAGATTTGATTGCAATGGAAATCAATTCAGTGCCTTCATTTCAACTATTACACTTTACTGTAGCAGTAACCTTGTAAAAATCAATTTAATGAAGGACAAAAAACTCATCATAGACAAAGCTATGAAATTTATTGATACAACTCACAGCTGGCCTAACATTATTGTTTTAATATGTTCAAGCTGTAAAAATTTGGATGACCAAATCATTTTACTCCAATACTTACTGTCAATACAGTCCTGCTTCACCCTAAAAATGTAACATTACATCACAGATTTTCATTAAAATTCTTCCCATAGGCCTGTTTCTCAGAGGAAACACCATGAGAGTGATCTGAAGAACCACACTAATGTCATTAAAACTGAAGGAATATTCATCTGAGGCTGCGAAGAAGTTCAGGTGAAAAGGTGATACGTTAAAGAGAGGAGAAAAAAACATTTTATGCAGCAGATATTATACCTGCAAAACTTTAATCTCACCATTAAAGCACTATGCTGCTGGTGAGCTACTTAGCCTGGCTAAGTTTAAAACAGTCAGCAGTGCTAGGTCATGAGCTGCTTTCAGAAGGCCTCTGATCATGAATGAATAAGGTGAGTGACAGCTACATCATTTAATCAGTCAGTGGAGAAAAAACAGGCATGTGTTTGGGGTCCCCAAGTGGAAAAGGGGCCCCCCTAAAATTTGAACAACTATAAACCTTCTTAAACCTGCCATTAAGGCAAGACAGTGCACTGCTGCTGCCCCATAACCCCCCTTAAGTGGCACCCCTGACGGTGTGTGCTGTAGCTAGCATCTACCGATAGCCTGCATGTGAGGCATTCAAGGAACATCGGTAGATTGCACTGTCCAACATAGTCTGCATGTGAGGCGTTTAGGGGACATCTAGTCTGCATATGGGGTGGGTGGGGGTTTGGAGAGTAATTGATAGGCTGCCCAGAGTCTATGATCGCTTGTGTTTTGGGTACACCCACTTTAGTTGAACTCAGCCAATGAGATCATATAAGATTCTATATTTTCTACTTGTGATAATGAAATTAGGCATCAAAGGAATTGGTACATTAGTCTCAGGCATTATCTGGTGTACTGAACAAACAGCGCAGCTCCTGCAGTAGACTTTCAGGAGGATTTATGCAGTAAAATTGGTGCTTAAATAACAGTGTTGACTGTGGTTTGTCTGTCATGACTCGTCCTCACCACATCACCAGGACCAAATGCTTCAAAGCTGCTTTTGAACTCCGATCCTCAGGACTGTTTCTTCTTTTGACCTCAAGCCATATCTTCACTTCAAGAAATCATTCTGTTGACTATGTGGCAATGACAGACTCCTCAACCTAACATGATGATGAAAGGTGTAGAGGTGCGTTTAACAGGATGATTTGGTTACAAATGAAAAACTAGAATTACCGCCTAATGGTTGTCTGCCACTCAGACTAGTTTCAGGTTACATCCCTGTTTATCCAGAGTCATTTAAATATGAACCATTTGTGTAAAATTTCATAATTGCTGTGTGAAGTCTTGAGTTACGGTTAAAAAGTGTTTCGTGTTCATCCTATAGTCCCAGTGGACATTCATATCGAGATATTGTGTTCACAAGGCCAAAACCGCATTTTGTGAGGTTACTGTGACCTTTGACCTTCGACCACCAAAGTCTAATCAGTTCATCCTTGAGTCCAAGTAAAGGGATTCCCATGTGGAGTTCGAGATATTGCGTTCACAAGGCCGAAATGATGTTTTGTGAGGTTACTGTGACCTTGACCTTTGACCTTTAGCCATCAAAATCTAATCAGTTCATTCTTGAGTCCAAGTGAACATTTGTGCCAAATTTGAAGAAGTTCTGTCGAGGCGTTACTGAGATATCGCATCCGGGACAATGGGAAGGACGGACGTACGGACAGATGTACAACCCAAAAACAATATGGCTCTGGCTCTGGTTTTTGCGGAGGGATACACATGCGCAGGAAGCAAAACACTGTCATAATGTCGTGCTTGATATCAGTGCTCACATCATCTCATGCACCATTATTTATTACAGGCTATACCCTCCACAAAACTTGCATCATATGAACGGATGAATATAAAGATAGCAATAACACAGAAATATTAATGAATAAAAATGTGGCTACGACATGTCCCATAGTGCAACTCAGTAGCATAACTACACTTCCAGTGTCTAAGTGGTGTTTCAAGCCAAACCAGAGTTGACCCTGATGATATCATGAGGATTATTCCCTCAACACTGACAAAGTTATGTGCTCATGGCGTCAGGTTCAGCACCGGGTGTGAGGAGACGGTGAGGGGGGCAGTGCACGAGCGGCTCTCTGCTGTGGGATCATCTCAGAACACGCAGGATTTATCAGCAGCTCCGAGCAGAGGTCGGGTACAGCCGAGTCAGTCAGGTCACAGCGTCTTCCAGAACAAACTGACCTCTCCCTAATCCCCACATAACTTCCTGCACCCGGTGGTGTGGGATGGGGTGCAGGGTGGGGGTGGGGGTGGGTGGGGATTAGCTGCTTTTCAGCCATTGACTCCCTCCAGAGCAGCTGAGATGTTGATAACAAACTGCTGAGTCTGATACTAACAGTGGAGGAAGACATATGTTCAGTTAGTGATAGTCGTGCTCCCACAGTTTTAAAACTCTTTCATACAACTAAGTCCTGTAGAAATTTGTAATTGTAACTTCAGTGTCACAAGCAGTGTGGGAACTTCGAGTGCTGAGTTTTACTCACAGTTTTCTGCACACAGATGTTGACAAAAGCGCTTTTAGATGTTGCATTTACAGATTTTTGAGTGAGCATTAGATTCACGTGCAGCATAAAGAAATGAAAGAAATAAGCTAGGTCAAAGGGTGGGGGAGTCTGCTCACTTACCCCTACAGCACCATGCCTGTAAGCTCGCCTGACTTACTCCCTGACTGAAATTTGTTCGAGCACAACCATCAAAGGTGACATTTACATATATAAGTGATATGACTACATCTAATTATATGTGTTTAGCCCCTTCCTGTCGATCCGCCACTGGAGCGGGGAAATGAGCAAAAAAAAAAGTTGAGAAACAATAAGCAATGTTTGCAACACTTGAAGACCACTGTATGATTTATGATTCATTGACAAACTGAGATCTGCAATGTCAGAATTACTTTCTAAAATGCTAATCAGGTTCCATTAGGAAGGTGCTGAACCTGCCAGGATTCTCTGCAAAGTAAGCATGAGTATGCTGAAACCCAGATAAAGGTGATCGGGTTTACATGAGGGCTGTTTCTCTTACAGTGAACTATTGCCCTCCTTAGTCTTCTGCCAGTTTAGAAGTAACCAGTAACTCCTCTGTCTCCAATAAAAAGAACAATTCTTCCCTCTGAAATGTGGTTGTAGAAAGTCTCAAAACAGAAAGTACCAAACCAGATGAAAGACTGACTGTTCATTGGTTCAATTAAACAAATTGGATCATTAGGAGATGCTTCCTCAGCAAAAACCTCACAGGGACAGATGCAAAGCCTCAGGTCTTTGCAAACACTGCCATCTAGTGTCTAAATGTAAGGAATGCAGCACTTAAAATAAGAACCCACTGTGAAGCATGGCAAACTCTAACACTGTACATTGTTGTTGCATCCAACAAATGCAAAATCAAAACCTTCCTTTGTAAATACAAAGTAGCTACAGCTTCAGATTCCTTCAGAAACTCTGGGAAAAGCATCAGTATGAGTTTAGCGCTTTTACAATTTTTCCTTTTACATATTATAAAGATTGATATTGACACAGACGATACTTGGATAAAGTCAGGTCAAATTAGTGATAAAACAATTCATCAAATTATTGATTCTTCAATGGACATCAATTTAATTTTAAGAAAAAAAAACAAACAAACAGTGATCAAGTCATGGCATCAGTAAGAGCTCCTCAAGGTGAAATAACAAACATGTTTGGTTTCAGCTTCTTGGAACTTCTTTATGTCATTTGTATAAAAATTGTATTTGGGTTTTCAGTGGTTGGAGAATATATGGTAGAGACTGTGTATTTTCCACTGTGACATATCTATGAGCTGCTGGATGACAGGACTGTTGCTACATGAGCATAATGAGCTACTTAGTCACAATGCAAAGATCAAATCCAGCTTTGCATTTTGTGTATCAAGAACTGAACACTCTGAATGGGCGGGAAAAACGTTCAGAATATTGGGGACATTTGCTGCTAATACAATCAAAGAGCATTGATCAACAAGTGCATCCAGCTTACCAACAAGTCCTCCAAAAAAAAAGAAGCAAGAAACAGTGTGTGCAGTGAACGGCAGGGGGCGCTCAGAGGCAATGAAATGAAGAGAGAGAAAGAGAATGGAGGATGATTTCCACTGAAACAAGGGCAGAGAAAAATACATTCCCATCCAGTACACAGATACAAGAGCGGAGTAAATATTTGTTATTAAGGAAAACCCTCAATACAGGAAGCATTTAACTCAGAGAAGAATAAAAAACATGTCGAGAAGCCGAAATATATTTTGGTGCCAGTAACTTCCTGCCAGGAGACATGGCTTGGTCATTTTATAATAAATGGTGGAAATAATGGTGGAATATAGTAGTGATAGCGTTGGCCATTAAACTGCCATAAAACACTACTGCATATCATGTAACTACTATTAAGAATATTATCGGAAAATGAATCACCATAATATCACCATCAAAACACTTTATTGTAATATCATAGGAAATATATAGGAAGTTACAGACGCTATTTTTCTTTTCCTCAGAAAGAAAATTTCGATTGTGCATCTGCTGTGTGTGTGTGTGCCTGCGTGCGGGCGCAACGCACACGCGTGCACGCACGCGTGGATGCGTGTGCGCGCAGACGGAGGATCGCCGAGCCGAGCCGTACCGTGCAGCAGGCACAAGCCGCTAGGCGCGCAGGAGAAGCCGCAAAAAATTACAGCAGCCGCTACTTGAAACTGCGAGGAGAGACAGAGGGAGCGTCGGAACTTCAGTGTCCACGGTAAGAGCCGTCACGTCGGTTTATCCTCCTGTATTTCTCTCCAAAAACAGCGCTCTGGTTGCTTGTAGTTATTATATATATATATATATATATTTATATATATATATATATATATATATATTTATATATTTATTTTTTCATCCCTTTTGTCTTTTTCCATCTCTCCATTTGGGCTGCCAGAGCGCGCGCTGCATGGATCAATGTAGTAAAAAAGACAGAAGCTCCTTTAGATTTGATGGGAGGGAAGGGAAAACAAGAAAATAACACATTAACAGGGTTGAATTGGAGAATTTAGAAATTCTTCTTCTTATATATCCTCCTTTTTTTTCCAGGCGGAAAAAAAAATGTGCACGAGCTTTAAAAAAGGGGTGTGTACAGTCTGGAGGAACACGCGCCTCGCCCTCACACACAGATTCTCGTGTTTTTCACACTTTTATAGAGGAAGAAATGAGCTTTGACTGCGGACCGGAGCGTCTGCTCGCGCTCTTTATATTATTTATTGATTGCCGTCAAATTGTTTATGATTATCTATTTTCTATAGGCTGCTAGGCAACGCAAAGAGGGAGCGCTTTTTTTCTGTTCCTGAGAATTTACAGCCAGTAAACAGTTCAACATCCACAAATAAAAGAAGGAGCTCTCCTACAGCTCGCCCCACCTCTTTGTCTGTGTGGAGGTGTGACACCATTCTGCTGCATGCAACTGGCACACACACACACACACAAACACACACACACATCAGGGAGCATGGTTATAGCGTCTGCTGCAGTACCAAGGGAGAGAGTGATGTCAGGATTGTGAGAATTAGTTGATGTCATATTTCCGTTTGTTAGTGGCCGGCCGAAGAAGAGAGGAGAAGCACTCAGGACGGTGGGGGAGGGGGCGGGGGGGTGAAAGGAGGGATGTGATGGAGAATTGGTGGTGGGGGGTGTATCTGAACCCTCTCCTCCCCTGTCCCCTCGTTGCACACACTCATTAAGTTCATCTTTCTCACTCCGCTTCTGTTGCCGCTGCGTCGATGTTGGACGTTATTTCTGCAGCGAGTCAAACTTTATTAGCCATCCTCCGTCGGTTAATTGCCTGGTCCTTTGTTTGCCGCGGCACGCATGCGCACTGGGTGTAGGGTGTGGATGGGAGAGATGCCACCTTGCCTATCAATAGGATGGAGAGCAGGAGGAGGATGGTGTTTCATTCTTGGTTTATTTGTTCATTCCATCGAAAAAAAAATGATTGTAGAAATAATAAAAGCTGCTTTTTGTGGTGGTGAGATCGTGTGTGAGTGTGTGAGTGTGTGTGTGTGTGTGTGTGTGTGTGTTTTCCCCACGTCGTTTCTGTGGTAGTGTGTGGTGGTACAGACTGTGTGTGTGTGTTTGTGTGTGTGTGTGTGTGTAGACGGCTGTTTGTGTGTGAATGGAGCCCCGGTGATGCTGATGCTGTTTTCTAACTGTAGATTACAGTGATGCTGCTCTGTCAAGCTGCAGTGATCGATCACTGATTGTCAGTGAAACGATCAGTCAATGGAAAGAAAATCAATCAACATTTTTTTAATAATCACTTAATTCATTTAAATCATTATAAAGCAAAACATTCTCTGCTTCCATTGCAGCTGATCTCTCTATATATACCACTGTAAAATTTGGATTTTAATGTAGATTTTTAACTATTGATAGGCTACTACTACTACTGATACTTTATAAATTACACCATTAATCATTTATACAAAGAATTACATGTTCATCACTAATGGAAATTATTTGCAGTCCTCCTGTCTTGCTGAGGTTGACCTGAATTGGTGTTTTCTTACCTATTACACAGAGCCTGGTGTTTGTATAGGGACCCATGAGGCATCTATGGTATTCAATAATGTTCTCTGTGTCAAATTATGTTAGTTATCTGCCTTTATGTTGCTATAATATTCACATGGTAATCATATAATTATCTGTAGAGACAATTGTTTCTAAGCTGCTTCACTGTGAGTTTTTCTTTAACCTGCAGTGATGGATGGGAATTAAGTTTTTCCACATGATGCTGTGTTCTACTTCTGTTCTATTACATTTGTTTGACAGCTTTAAAGTTTAACGTGTCATTTGCAAATAATCTCATTTTAAAAATATGCATCAATATGTATTAACAACTTTTACATCCTGTTGGATATAAATGCTGCTTAAACATTAATTCATTGACGGTAATGATGCAGGTGATGAGTCCCTGGTTTGACTCCTGGGGGGGCCAGCTGGGTGTCAAATTGTGGAGCAGTTCCCCTTCTCTTCCCCATGTCTCCTGTCAATCTCCACTTTCAATATCTAATAAAGGCATAAAAATACCTCCCAAAATAATAGTAATAAAATAAGACACTGTAATATATATACTGGTGATACTTGAATGCTCTGACGAGTACGTGCTTTTGACCTCAGTACTTTCACTTATTTAACATTTTAAATGCCAGACTTGAATAGTGGTATTACTTATTTTACTTACGTAAAGAATCTGTTCTACAGTCTGATTTCATGTAATCTAACTGTCTGATACCAGGATCACACATTGGTTTATAGTGCATCTGATGCACTCAGTTACCTTCATATCGTTTTTAATGTACTCAGCGTTCAGAATAAAAGTCCAGCAGGGCCTTAAAGTGTGTTTACAGTGACATTGTGCTTTACAGTGTTTTCATAGGTCCCAGAAAGTCATTAATAATGTGAAGCATTCTGATTGGCTCATAGACTGCCATGTGACTGTGATGTCAGATTCTGCCTGGGGATGTCATATGTCTTTTCCCTCCGTTACATGTGTTTCTAGTCTCTGCACTGACAGCTGTCTATTAAAGACAAATATGTTTAAAAAAAAAAAAAAGATCAATAATCTAAGTCTTAGACATGATATGGATCACAACAAGATATAACTCTGCTCCATCTACAACGTTCCTAAAAACTCAGATAGGTACTTCATTTTGTATTTGTGTCTCCTTCCGAGCCGCTGTATAAGATCACCATGGTAACGGTGGGACCATAGTAATGTGTCCTGTCTGTCTGGCTGCTGATTGGCTCTCATAAATCCAGCCGCTGAGTGTCTCCCTCCAGAAGGATGAATGATCGCAAACAGCAACCTGATGAGGAGCTACGACAGTGACTCATCCCATACCGCCACTGTCGGGTTCTCAAGGTGTGTGTGTGTGTGTGTGTGTGTGTGTGTATCTCTGTCGCGTACACAAACTGTCTTCTGTCTGACACATATACATAAATATGTGGACAGGGAGTCATTGGAGTCATAACAGAGGTCTCCACATACTTTTGTCATATTGAAAAGAGAGAGAGTGTATGTTTGAGACAAACAAAAAGAGGTATCATTGCCATGGTGGACCCTGCAGGTCTCAGAAGGTCCTACTGTCTGGCTTGCCCCCCCCCCCACACTGAAATGTCAAAGACTAAAACAAATGCTTTCTTTGTTTTTTTGTATGCGTCATGTGATCAACAGGATCACGTTCATCGGCACCGTGTTCGTCTTAATTAAACCGTCAGACTGCGTATGATGGAGACGAGGCTCGTTTTCTAACAGCAGAGGAGATGAAGCAGGACAATGGGAGGCTGCAGCTGCTGTTTAACGCACATGCACACACACTCACACAACTCAGTGTGTGCACGTATGTGTGTGTGTGTGTTATGGAAGGTAGGGAATGGGTGCAGCTGCAGGTTGAGTCACCACTGCTGCTACTACAGTGCCTCCAGTTTCCAAAAAAAAATCATATTTAGCACAACTGGGTCTCATTTAGTCATAAAAGTCTCATAAAAAAAGAAAGAATACAGTCTGCCAACGAGGTAAGGTTCTTCTCACTTCCTGTGCAGTTTCAGGACTGTTCGAGAAATAAGTGTGTATCTCGAAACAAGACAGAATATGTGATTTCTGCTTTGGAATAAAGAAAAACTGTCCTTGATGCTAGAGAAATTTTTTTTTTTAATTAATTTATTTCAAGGAAATAAGATTTTTAGGAATTAGTAACAAATAAAATCAGCTCATTTTGTCATAATTATGTTCAAAATATTATGGGAGTGCAAGGAGCTGTGTCTCATACACAGCAGGTTGCGCCTTGCAGCATGCAGTGGTGTCTGAGGCTGGGATGCAGTAACACTGGAGGAAGATTATTGTATTGTGTGTGTTTATGGCTTAAACACGGAGGTTCGGGGGTGATCTTGGTGGATGTCACTCATAGACTGTCTATAAAGATGGACATAGCCTCCATGACCTCCATCTTCTTGAAAAGTGGTTTTGAAGCTCAGAGAGAGCTGCTCCACCATTGCCATCTTAGCAGTGTCTGACTCCGCCCCAGACTCCCAGCTAATCCAAAAATGGCCAAACAGGAAGCTTGTGGAACTGAGACTTCGGTGAATGCCGGTTTATGGCAAACAAACACTCACCCAGTTTTCTCATACTTGTATTGATGTTTTGAGGTAGTTTGGAGTTGAAATTCGTGAAACCAGTGAGTGGTTATAACATGAGTTCATATACACACAGCTTTTAATTCTTCTGTGGTTCAGTTTATGGTTTAGATTCAGTATAAAAGTCCTGCAGGGCCTCACAGTGAGTCTATAGTGAGGTTGTGCTTTACAGTGTTTTTATAGGTCTCAGGAAGTCATTAATAATGTGAAGCATTCTGATTAGTTCATATGCTGCCATATGACTGTGATGTCAGATTCTGCCTGGGGGATGTTTGTCATATATCTTTTCCCTCAGTTACATGTGTTTCTTGTCTCCTTCCGAGCCACGGTATAAGATCACCATGGTAACGGTGGGACCATAGTAATGTGTCCTGTCTGTCTGGCTGCTGATTGGCTCTCATAAATCCAGCCACTGAGTGCGATCATTCATCCTTCTGGAGGGAGACAAACAGCAACCTGATGAGGAGCCACGGCAGTGACTCATCCCACAACCCCCACCGTCTCCTCTGCCATTCACATTTACATCCTGCTGCTGCTATCATCCACCTGTAGGCTCTTAGTTTTACATTCCCC